TAAGCTGTGACATCGTTGTTAACCTAAGCAAACATTTCAAACTCGCCAAATCCTTACCGTCTAGGCTAAACTTTCCCGCGAAATTCTATTTTTAACGTCACGCTGCATGGAAAAACAAAGTGGATCCTTAGTTCGATGGTCTTTGTTGCTGTTGTGTAGAACAAACTGTAAGTTAATAGTGAGCGAACCTTTACCCTAAATTTAATTTTGGGACTTCTGCAAACCCTTTGTTTACATATATTTCTCGTTTTCGGATGGCGTGACGCGTTACAGATTTTAAAGGTAAGACTTCGAAATGTCGATATTACCTAAACGTTCCTCCTTGTTTTTGAAAACATTAATTATTCTTTCAGATCAGAAAAATCGCCGAGCATTGCGGGTGGCGGGTCAGTTTTTCTTCAATTATTAGCGTGCAAACAAGAGGGTCGAGTAGAGACGTCAGAGGTGGTGTCTATTTGGCGCAGCCGAATGTAAACAATGAGGAAATACAGGTTACGACAAAACTTCGTTGCTATCCGGCCCACCAAATGATCAAAAAGGACAGACAACTGGAATAAGCATCTCAATACGTGAAATTGTCGCTAGGTCTGCAGGATTGCCAGCGGAAATCTTTCTTGCTATCATTGTCGTTTGTARCGTCGCAGGTTTGTACARCGRRTWGTTTTCCGTTTCATTTCCTTCCTTTATTACCTCWTGCATGGAATTGACTTACGACCACTTGCTATGAAGCTTGAGATAATTTTTTGCTGATTCAAAGGTGTCTTAAGGTGTCTCGAAAACCCAGACCCGGAAAACTCTACTTAATTTAGCATAATTAATCGAAGCATAAGGATCCGTAGTATATAATATCCGAAACTGTCACGCAATGCACCTCGAGCCAGTGTCACTAATCTTGGAGTTTAAATGGCTTTAAGTATAAAATAAATTTTATCAATTTGGTTTATACTTATAAAGCAACCAAAAAAACATACGAATTCTGGGTATTATTTTCGTGATCCGAGCAGAGGAATCTACCGTGGGCTTTTTTTTCCCCTCTCTCTGCAGATTGTACCTATGACATTGTATGGACGAACAGCAAATAAGATGTCTTGAAGCAATCCGCAGTAAACACACTGCGAAAAAAAGTTGTGATATTTTTCGAGTTTGAGTTTTCGAGACGCACAGAGAGTCTGACTTTTTTTTCGGGTCTGAGTTTTCGTTTTCGAGGGTCTCAGTTTTACGGGTCTGAGTTTTCAATCTCGCAACCCACTCAGCTGGTTTACATGTAAATGTCAAAAATAAAAACAACTTTATTTAAAGAGTTCTCGGAAAACTAAATCAAATTGAAATGTCGTCTAGGACAGCAGATTTTTCTTCCACCTTCTTGCAAACAGCGTG